AGGAGGGAGTCGAGAGTTGAGTGCAGACTTGAGAGATCAGGAAACTGGCCGTGCGCAGGAGGGTGGCGTGTTTGGAAGATAGGTTAAGAGGTGAGAGATGCAACCGGTGACCGAAAGGTCCGTCTGTTCGGTTTGTTGGGGGTTTATGTTTGATAGCGAGGGGTAAGGTCAAGGAGATTCAGGATGAGTGATATTTAATATCCTATGCGCCTTAATTGGTTTATGTATGGATAAGGGCCCTCGGTGTCTTGATTCCAGACCCAGGCATACTCGTACTGGACAGTCGACGAAGACGTGTGCTCGGACATTTTCATTCTATGGTGTTTTATTGCATCTTTTGGTTGGCATATGGGATGCGTGGCCAGTGTCACCGCATTTCAGCTGTTTTTGTCTGTGCACAACCTATCAAAATTCAAAATCACTGGGTCTGCCATGCCTACATGTCTAAAGTTAACACAGCTATCGACATTGAACGACGATTTTCATGGAATAATTGCTGAAATGGTCAGATCTACCATTACAAACAAGTTTGATCCAAGAGGTGGACATGCGATACTGGTTTACCGCATTGTGGTGCCCTCGCAGTGAACGTAGGGCTCAATATCAAACACAACTGGACAAATTCCTGGCCAACTCCATGAAGTTATTTCATGCTGACATCATTCTTTGTGAGCAGTAGCCACTCGAGGTCCTTGTTGCTCCGTGTAAACACGTTTCGATAATCGAGCTTCGATGTTGGACAGATATTGAATTCAGCGAATGCTTCGTAACAAGGATGTGCATCACGCTACATCCTGCCTTTTGCGTGGATGAGGCTCATGAACACTGAACGGGGACATGAACTAGTAATTGAGAAATGGATCTACAAACACCAGTTATTGATTATGAATAATGGAATCGATTAGCAACTTTCTTATAAATTATCATCCCTTGATCTTCAACACAAACATTAAGTTACGCTCTTACGAGTCGTTTTATACTTAAATAACTTTGAAAACACGGAAATTCAGCGATTTTTAGGGGTGTAATCAAAGTATGTCGACCATATATGTTCCCCCATTTGGCATATTTGGCACCGACCAAATGACTGAGACTGAGAGGCAGGCGGGTTTTTGTCGTAATATCGCAATATGAATCACATTATAAATCCCGTGGGTCGAATGTTCAAATGCAACCTTACTGAACTTTGCCTCCTGCTGCTCGATTATAGTTGATGCAATTTCCTCGAAGGACTTTTCTTGCCCTTCGTTTTCAGCAAGCTGGCCAAAACACTCAGCGCCGTATCACTGTCCGCTGTGTTTACGCCTTGCGCTGCCGTAAGCAGATATTTTGGCGGCTTTAGTGTCCACCCGGCTGTCGCCTGTGACTGAGAGGCAGGCGGGTTTTTGCCGCGCCGGGCCGGGCTGGCCGATGTCACCCCGTCACCGTCCGCCGGCTGGACGGACATTGGGACGGCTCGCCACACGGCCGCGTAGCCGATTTGTGCGTACCGATGACGACCAGATGACGGCCTGTTGACGGTCCCGGTGACGTATGGTGATGGATGACGATGGTCTGTGACCGCTAATGATGGCAGGGGAGTGCGGTGACGACCCGTCACGGCGGGTAACCCGTCACGCTGTGGCCGTCACGAATTGTGGCCCTGTCACGATCTCGTCTGTGACTCACTAGCCCTCTGGAGCGTGAAGCTGATCCACTCGCACCAATCGATAGTTTAAACCAGTTCAGGGCGGTGGCAGTACTCTACCAGCGGCGAAGGTGTCACCAGAGCCGCCGACAGACGCGGACGGGTTGGGCTTGTATCGTCCCAGTCATCTCCCAACGCCGGGCGATAGGAGGGCGATAGTCGTCCGATGGACGGCCGATGGACGGGCGATGGATGGCCGATGGACGGTACCCGGTCAGTGATTCTGTCATCACCCCAGAGATGGATACTCTGACCAGCTCCCGATGACGTAGCGGGAATAAGGATGGTGTGATAGGCTCGGTTCTCTACCTGATCGGTATTTGTCGGGCTTGTCGTAACGCTTCCCAGAATATCGTGGATATAAAAATAGCTGCTTAACTAGACGTAAAATTGTACCTCAATGTTCACGATATTTAACGATTGTCAGGCAATTAACATGGGTCGATTAAGTTTGGTGTTATTTCTGTGTGTGACGAATCGGTCTGGTCTGCCCTCTGACCGCCTGACATTTGTTTGTGTTTGTTTTGTCGTGTTTGGTTTGGCGCAGGCCGCCAGAGTTTCCACATGACAGTGGCGGCTGGTAGTTCGCGTTACCTGCGATCGGTTGGTATCATCGGTGCATCGGTTGATTTTTACAGAGTTTCATCCACTGTTTTCCACCGTAACGTATCCCCCAGGTTTTCCGTTACTGGATCCGCAATCTTCCCACCGTTACGGACAGTGACTGGGGGAGATTTTTGCCTTGTTTGTCGCTAATGGGACCGGTCTAGGGAAGGGGTCGGGTGTCCCCCGTATGATCTGTATCACCGGATGAGGGGCTGGCATACTGGAGGGCGGGTAATGACAAAAACGCCCCCGTTCCCGTGTCGTTTTATTGCCGAGTTTATTACTGTGTCGCCTGCAGTCATGCGACAATCATAGTGTTTTGTGTGGTCGTTTTTCACTGAGACCAAGTTTCTGGGCTTATCTTGTGCCAAAAGTAAAATTATACATATTTTATTGTTTCCGTGATAACGTGCATCAAATGCTGCTTGCTAAGAGAACCAATGCAAACCGAAACTACGCCTCCGCGCCGCCAAAAAACGCGACGATAGCAAGGACACTCAGCTTTTCTTTGAGGACATCTTTCTTGACTTTAAAAAGTCGTGTAAAGAAGTGTTTGTGAGCCTTCCAGCAGTCATATGAGGACACATGTGTCAGCTAGGAAAGGTGCATAACATGAAAAATGAGGCCAAACATGCAAAACGTGTGAAGGCGGCATGCCGAACGCGGCACTGGGCTTTGAACTTAAGTTGAATTCAGACATGCACGATGCTCGAAGTGCGTCCACCATTGCAGTCCTTCAGGAGCTGGCACCCGAATTTGCATTTAAATGTGTATCAGAAAATTGTTTTACGGTATATCTTAACGTCACCATTACTGATGCTAATAATGGCAAGTTCTAAAAGTCCACTACTCTATTTAATGCCCAGTGTCCAGAACTGTGCACTGTGTAATGTGTATTGTACAGTCAGCATCATCAGTATCTATATCGCACTAATGCCGGTTCATGTAATCCACTGCTCCATGACCTCAAAATTAATGCACTCTGCTTCTACTTGCTGTATGAACAGCAAGTAGAAGCAGAGTGCACTGATTTTGAGGTCATGGAGCAGTGGATTACATGAACCGGCATTAGTGCGGCGTTTTGGGTTACAGGACAGTGTTACCAACGCGAAAGGGCGTCAGCCTGTAAGGATGAGTTCATGGGGTTTGTGCAGAAGCTATGTCCCTTGTTGAATCATTAGTTGAACCGAAGGAGGCATTGGGCGTTGCGGGGGGCATACTCCCCAAAAGCTTCCCAGAAATCACAAACTTCTGACTTCTCTCTTTCCGGTAGACTTCTATGCAATTCATTGCAAAATTTTGTAAAATGTAAGTGTAAAGGGTTCCTTTTGTGCTAAGAGAACGGCAAATTTGGAGCGGTTTCGAGCGCATGGCCCAAAGGCTTCCCGTTTCAGCCATTTTGCTGAATAATGGGCAATATGATTTGATGCTCATTTATCAAGGCACTCGGACTTTCTTTCACATTCAAAGACAATAGCAGACAGCTTAACTGATGAATTGGTCTGCAAACGTGTCTGGTATACCGACCATAAATTAGCATATATTCTGCCATGCCGTTTCTTTTTGCGTGATGCCACGCGCCTGTTCTGTCACACCATTGTTTGTGCGCATTGACATGTATGACTGATCAGCATCAGCGCTTTTCTAGCCAGCCCATGGCACGGTCACTCGTGTTGTGGCAGTGCTGTCCTGTTTTGTCCTTTCGAGAAAAATCGCGCGCATGTCCTTGATCATATGGGCTTTTTGTATGTTTCTGTGAGAATGATGGTTTAGACGTATTTCATGAGCCTCGAGCTCAAACTTTTTGAACGTATAATTGTTATTGTGGTGACATCTTTGCAGCGGTTTAGCTTTTCAGCCATCCAAACCGTCTTTCCTGTGATCCATCCACCGTCGCACCACTCCTCGTTTTCCGCCTTCCCCATTTGGACGACTTCGCATTGCTACTTTTGTCCGTTTGCATGGCTGTAACTTTTGACTTTATCGGTTCTATTCTCCTTTGGCGCCTGTGTCTGTATTGTTGTGTCTGGTCTACGTCTGTTCATGTGCTTGTGGCTGACGGTTGTGGTTGTGTGGTTCTTCGTCTTTCTATCTGTGCCTTTGAGTATGCCAGTTGCAGAGTCAGATTGTGCCTGTATCTCCGTCCATGTGTCTCGGTCTGTACTCGTGTCTGTGTCTGCGTCTGCGTCTGTGCCATCCATGCCCCTTCCCCAACACGCCGTTCCCATGGGTCTGTGTGCTGGATCCTCCGGTCCTGGATGTAATTGAGACGCTCCAGTGGACCGTCTGGCTCTGTCGGAGCAGCCCCGTGTGACAGTCCTCCGCGAGCGGTCCGGACTCGATGCTAATCAGGCCGGGAACGGTAGAAGGGTGCTCCCGGGGTGCCCGTCGGGTGCCGGTCGGAGCTCGGTCGGGTGCCCGCCCAGCCCGGTAATTGCCCGTTTTTACCTGTGGCTGGCCCCGCGGCCGCGCGGCGGGGCCGCTCAGCGCGAAATCCATCACAAAAGCCAGCAGACCTCCGGGCTTTGGCCGCTGCTGTAGTCTCTCCGTGGGGGCTGGCCGCGGGAGGCCCTGTGTGGGTTTTGGTGAGGGGTGGTCCTCAGCAGCCCGGAATATGAAGCGGTGGATGGTTGACTCAATCCCATTCTACTTACTGTTGGTCCCAGCAGCGTGCTCATCGGCTATCTCGTGAGACGCTAAGGCGGACTACATTGGTATCACTGTATTGACTGAGCTAGCAAATAAATAACAACAAACATATATACTTATAGGCGTGTCCATTGCATGGGTGCGGTGTGATGCGCCCAGCGCCTTCCGTTCACCCCATTCTGATCGTTTGTGGTGCACTATATCTGTTTCCACCGTCCACTGTCCGCCGCCGCTGCCGACATCGTCCCTCGCGCGTCACTCACGGCAGCACGGCACTCACGGCGATCACGGCAGTCACTGCAACTCACGGATCACTATTCACGATCACTGTCTCGGCCTCGTCCGGGCCACGTCGGCCTGCGACATCGGCTCACAACTTCTCGAGCGCCTTGGGGTTGAACATGAGGTCTCTGAGCAGGCGCCACACCTGTTTGGCGGCGGTGTCCATGGCGGCCGGCGAGATGCCCTTGTAGAGGTTCAGCGCCGGCAGGAAGTAGTGCGGGCACCGCCGGTTCTGCAGACACGAGATGAGCTGAACCAGCAGGCCCAGAACCCGGTCGTAGATGGCCGACTCGTCCCACTCCAGCTCGCGAGGGTGCTTCTCGCATTCGTACAGCAGCAGGATCTGCGGAATGGAGAAATCCTGTCGTCAGAATTTGGCTATTTATATGCATGGGTATTCTCTTCTCACATTCCAACAGCACAGTGAGCAAACGGAAGAGTTGTGGTTACAGTGGTTTCCTAGACGTGGATGATGTGTAATGCTTCCCTATTCGCTACAATAGCAGGATGTGGTGACGGAGAGCCGGTGGTCAGATGTCGGGATCTGCCGCGCTGGGGCTCTGACTCGTCAGATCTCACCGTCAAGTGACACCAGTGAGTCCGCTCGGCTCTGAGACGGCTCGGCTCGACTAAATCTGGCCGCAGCCGACACCGCCGCAGCCCTGTACGGGCGGATTGACGCGCGCTAACCGGTCCGCTATCTCGGGTTTGTTTGCACGCCTGAAAATATGTCCGTCGAATTATCTGATGTAGCGCCGGGTTTGCAGCACCCAGTGACAGTTTTGGAGATAAGGTGTAAAATGCGGCGTGATGGCAAGGGGATGATGTATGGTGACGTTAAGTTATAACCTTTATGAGCTGTTGATGCTAGATTGATGTCAGCTGGCTTGAGCCTTGAGTTAAAGTGTCTAGCATAGCCCGCCTGGAGGCGATATTCGTGCTCATTGTACCTACATGAGGGTTTCAATGTATTCATCATCTGTTATTTGTTGTTGTGGCAGGTTGTTTCCAATTAACTGGTGGGTTCTAAGTCGTGTGAGGACACATCACTCCGTTCTCTTGGTTTAACTTTTTCGGAATGCTAAACTAAGACGTTGTGTGATTATTGCCTGGGTAAGCTCCCTACGTCAGCTTTGTCTTCGTCAGCTGGATCCTTATGCCTTATCTCGCATTGCATTGATGAAAGATAACGGCGGAACTGCCGGGTAGGTCCAGGTGTGTGTGTGATGGAGGATCTCACGGCAGAGGAGTTACGCCCAACCCGTGGGTCTCTCACCTTGAGGTGGTAGGAGGTGACCGGACTGCCGGGCAGGTCCAGGTGCCTGTCCCGCAGCGTCTTCATCAACGAGAGCACGCGCTTGCGGCAGCCGCCGTACAGCAGCCTGTTCTCGGCCTCGTTAAAGCTCAGCACCCAGGCGTCGCCCTCCATCGAGTTCTGTTTGCTCTGGATCGCCTGGCTCTCCTTGCTGAGCAGGTCGAAGCCCTCGGCCTTCACCTCGGCTACCAGACTAGGTAGCGGCCACGGAATGCCCGGCACGGGCCAGTGGGCGCCAGAGCGCGGCCACACACCGGCACAGCGGAACGACGGCGTCACCTGTACCACGTACCGGTCACGGATCCGCATCCGCACCTCGGTCGTGTCGCCGATCATCTTGACACAGTCGCGGTAGTGTGATTTGTCGCACGCCTGCGCACACAGGGTCTGCAGCTTGGCGCGCATCTTCCGGGCCGACAGGTAGCCGGAGGCGGTGATGAACTCGATCCACAGCGACATGCTGCGCTTGCGGCCGTCGCTGAGTTTGAGCACCGAGCAGCCCGGGATGGTGCCGTCGTCGACAAAGTTGAACTCTCCCATCTGGTTCAGGTAGAGAACGACTTCGAACTCTGTCGGGGAGAGCACCTCGAGACCCTCGAACCGTCCATTGCACTCAGTGAGCGAGGAGATCACGCGCGGCTCCTGCACCTCCACCTCCTTCAGAATGTCCTGCACCACCTTGCACACCTCGCGCACCGTCTTGGCCACGGCCGCCTTCCGCGCCTGCACGCGCTCGGCGTAGTAGCGGTTGAAGTGGAAGAGCGCCTGCGACTGGGCGGAGAGCACCTCCGAGCCCAGGTGGCCGCCTAGGCCGTCGGTCGGCATCTTGGCCAGGTCGAGCATTCGTACTGCGCCGCCGTCGTCACCGCGCCGCTGCCGCCGCCGTCACCGCCGCGCCCAGACTGCCGCCGCCCACCGGCCGGCCGCGGCGGGCGGCCGGCGCGCCGGCGTCGGCGGCGGCGCCGGGCGGTACGGGGGGCGGCGCCTGGCCCGGCCGCGGCCTCCCATTGGCCGCCGCTCGGAGGGGCGGGCTCTGAGGGCTGGCGGTAACACTGGCCGTGTCGGACGCGGTGAAAAATGACCGTCACTCGACGGAGATGGATCTGCGATGGTGGCATCGGTGATAGCCGGAGCGGAGGTGGCGCGCCGTGCGTGCGTGCTCTCACGGTCCGCCTGACCTGTCAGAGCCGTGACACGCAGACCTTATAGGGACACCGCCCGCCCGAATCGACCCACGACTTCGTGCCGCCATGACCGACCAGAGTAGCACGCCCCCTCACTATCACTGCCCCAAAATGCAGGCACGTTTTGTATGATATCTGCATAGTTTGCAGGTGTATCCCATGGTGCCATCGTTGGGCCACTCCTTTGTCCGCGGGCCTGTCCCGGTCAGGTGTCCACCCCTCCAAATGACGGTCATCTACACGACACAGCGGGACCATAATTCACGCGCAAATGGATGCACGTCGCTGGCCGTGCAGGGTGGACTCGGGAGCGGGTGCTAAATTCGTCTGGGGTACGCCGGCGCGACACTCGGCGTTATGTGCGGCCTCGTAACGCGAGGCTTCTCTCCTCTAAGGAATGTGATAGCCCGGCACTAGAAGGAGAAGTGTTTGTTGATGGTGGCCTGGAAAGATTCCCGTGATAAGTGGACAGGGGTGATAAATTTTGAAGAAGCTGATGGTTAACTCTGGGAACGTTTCTTGTATCGGCGGGAGGCTAAATGACGCACGGCCTATGCACCTCGGGCATGAAACTGGCTCGGAACGAAAATAAACACCCGTATAAGCGGCCTCCACGATAAGGACCACCAGTTAACTTCGTCATTGCGTAGCTGTCATTCAACTAAAAGTCCGTGTCATCGCTGTGAAATTTCGTCCATCAGTCTCTTAATTAATCCCTGCGCGCATTGACGCCTGATAAACTATCTGCACAAAACAGGGCGGTGGTTGTTTATTGAAATAGCCGCGGCCGCTGACCCTCCGTCACTGTCAATCTGTGTATACTGTCGGCCGCCGGCTCTGTCATCGTGTTTATACCACTGCTGCGCGGCCGAGAGTCTTCACCAGCCTCTTCAGCGTGAGGAAAAAACGTTTTATGATTTGAGAAGTGTCCCGTGCGATGTGTGGAGATACCTTCTCTATCACTCGGGTCGGAGCGAGCTGCCTTCTACCCTCGTAATATAGGAAATGGTCTGAGCTTGGTGGATGGTGGATGAGCACTCAGTACGGCGTAATGAGATCGATCCCTTGGAGATGTGATCGTTCGGTGGTCGGTCCCGATTCCGAGCGAGCTTCCCAATAGAGACGTGCGCTTATCGGTCATTTGGCGCTGATCGGTTCAGCGGTATCGGCCATGCCACGAGAGGCTGATTAAGCAATAGGGAGACGTAACGCAGCTGCCTACTAATTGGTGTTATGACCAATGAATTTGATACAGCATCTGGCTCAACTGGCTGCAAGGCATGCGGTGAGGAGTCTAATGAGGAAGAACTTAATGATTTAGTGTTATTAGTCTGGATTTAGAGGACCGTGTTGCTGCGTTGCTGGAGGTCCACTGGCCGATGCCCTGGGCAACTGGTGCCTTTTTTCCGTAGCGGCGGCAGTGGGCCGTCCGTCATCCCCGTATGTCGGGTGGACAAACACAGGCCTCTGGGTGGCGTTTTTCCGTGGCTGTAAACTCCGTAATTGGTGTAAGGTGGTGACGGCTGCGCGCCAGACCGTGGCCGGGGTTCATAAACAGACAGACAGACACACAAACAGGCGCGGCTCACAGACGGACAGACGTACAGACGGGCCGGGGTGACACGCACGCTACGGTGACTGTCTCTGGCCTGGCGTTCGTTAGTCCACCGCCTTCTGTTAGTGTTTGGGGAGGGGTCAGACGCGCGGTGGTCTGAAGTCCGAGTTGGACAGTGGACACTGGTGCCACTCACTTGTGGCATGTCGTTGCAGCGCGGGGTAGCGAGCAGATTGGTCTTAGGTCTCACGACACTCATCAGTTGAAATGCCGTTCAATCAGTACTCTAACCACGCAACTTCAATTGACAACCGTAGTTCTGACCATTTCCCCTAAACTCACAACTCAACTCACACTCATCGGCGTTCCTCGTTAACTCCCCCACCGGCCGTCAACACCAAACAGATGTCACACGCGTGCGACCGGTGATGGCAAATTTTTGCCGAATAAAGTTTACGACTGCCAGCTGGTAATTTATGCATTGCCGCGCGACGGCCCGACGGTAGGACGGTCGTAACTCGTAACTCCTAACTCGTAACCCGTAACCGGTAACTCGCCGGTGGGGCTCGCAGCTGCCGTGTCGGTCTCGCCAGCAGCTCACCAATGAGTGCGAGGGTGAAGTCTCTTGTTTTAGCTGAACTGGAGTCGGGAATGGCTTTAAAAGTTTGGTTTGGACAAGCCGCTGCTTCTGCAATCCTAGTTTGGAACGGTGCGGGCTTGCTGATGTGAGGCCTCTTGCACCAAACTACCTAGCTAGGTAAAATCGAAAAACTGGTTTCAGAATAAGCTAATCTAACGGTGGTAAATTTGTTTGCAATAGCCCAATATATAATCCTATATGTGCTTGCTAAATTTTGCACGCAAATTGTTACATTTGAGACTTGGACTGGGTATACGATGCAAAATAATCCAAGCATTGGTGCAAGAGGATTTTGGTGCAAGAGGCCTGTGCTCTCTATTGATATTTGATTATGTTATTTGCTAGGCATTTGTTAATGTTATGCATACATAGTTGCTATACTTTTTACCTCTGCAAAGAGCAATGCCAGGATGCTTTAATATCACATTTTATAATAAAATGCGGTTGATGAGCGCTTCTCGCTCGCATGCATACCAGATTATTTTGAAATGCTAGATTGTGAGATGATACATATTGCAAAAATGATCCACGCGAATTGAATACAACTTTGCGCGCCTCGGCTTTCGTAATGATAAGTCTCGTTTGGGGAGCCATTTTGAACCGCCGCAGCTTGCAGACATGTCGACAAACGCGATGCTCACTGCTCAAGACGAATGACGATATGCAATGTGCATACAATGCGCAGGACATACTGTTCACATTAAACGGTACCTTTTCATGAGTTGAACAGCATGTGCCCTGTAACTCATGGTAAACAATGCCATCTGATTTTGCAATGCTGCTATTGTGTTGTGCATTACACCTTACAGATGCATGTTAACGACCACCAACGCTGCCTATTCACGTGATTCATGCTATGGGGGAGGGGCATGTCTTACATTGAAACAGCCATCCTCTTTCAACTTTTTTTTGGTAGATGGTGGATAATTACGGGTTTTACAGCCGGTTAAAAACTCCCCAACAGGGGAAAACGCCATCTTAAAATGATGTCTTATTCTGAGAGACGGCTTAATTTCGTATAAATTTGAACGCACCGACAGGAGAAACATTCTCTGAAGTTTCTCCGATTCCGCTCCGTTCGGCAGACGCCGTGTGATTCGTGTATCACCGGTCGGTCACGGGGCTCTCTCTCCGGGGCGGTCCCGGCCGGCGCCCGGTCCTTTTAGTCCAATTACCGACCTTTCGCCGCCTGTCTGTCGTTGGCTCTGTGTGCCTGTCTCATCCCATTGGAACTGTAACCCATCCCACTGTCCTCGCCGTGACCCTAACCCATTTCCCTCACCCCGGCCGCCGCCGCCGCCGCCGTTATCGGTCGCTGACGGTTTTCGGCTCGCCCCAATAGTTCGCCAGAATGTGAAGAAAGCGTACTGCGGTGCCGGGGCCCACTGGCGGCGCGAAGCGTGCCTCCATTGGCCCGTCTGGCCGCATTATGTCCACGTGACGGGCGCACAGGTGGGCGCTTTGTGCGCCCGGCCGGCGCCGCGGGACGCCCGTCGGACGCGCACGGGCCCGGAAAATGGGCGTCCTTTGTGCCCGGCGCGGCCGCATTGTGGCCGAGATGTTATCAGCGCTTAAATGGGCGGCTAAACGGGACGATATGATCTGGTCGGCGGCGGCTGAAGACGGCCGGCTCGCCTCTGGTGGTCACTGAGACTGAGGGTGAGCGGAGAACCCACACACAGCCGAGCGTACGGCGGTGTACCGGCCATTGTCCGCCGGGATAGGGCCGTCGTGTTTGTATTGTGCCGCCCCACGATGCCGCGCTCCAGGGAGGTTTTGTCGGCAGCGATCGGCTATGGTGTCCATTGCTCTTCTTTGCTTTGATCTAGTTTGGATTTTTCTGCTTAGATTGGGGTTGTGAATAGGATTTGAACCATTTTGTGAAGCTTTAGGTGTTCACAATAGTAAAGGCCGGAACAGCTTTTAAGCTCGCAAATCGCGTCTCGCTTTTCCCATTGCAATACATGGCATATTTTCAGCTCCCAACACGCAGGTCGTCTCGCTTTTACGCCGCGAAATCACGCCGGATCCTGCTCGGAAAACGCGAGCAAATCGCGAGCGAAACGCAAGCAAAATCAGTCCGGCGCGATTTGCAAGCTGAAAAGTTGAATCTGTTTCAACTTTTCAGCTTCTCTGCTCGCGAAATGCAAGCGAAATGGCGTCAGTAACCATGGAAACCAAATAAAGCACCTTGGCTTACGGCAATTTTAACTAAATACTGGCGTGGCCTCCTGCTTTCAGCACATCGGTATTCATTTGATTGACAATTTTATACGTACAACGTACTAAATTGTTTAGTTTTTATATTTCGATGTTTAAAAAAATCTTAAACGTATCTTGTACTGCGTTCAACATAAAATGAGGAATCCGTGGATTTTTTTTCAAAAATCTCCCCTTCGTAATTTTCTTCAAAATCAGTAAAACATAAATTTTATTAGAAAATGGTAACTTTTACTTCCGTTCGAAAAATTATATGCCTGGCATGTAGAATTCGGGCTGTAGACAAACTTTGACATTGTGGTCCCATTGCTTAGGATGTTCAGCGTTTTCAAGAGTATT